GGCAGGAGCAGTGTCACTGAGCTAAATTCCCGGCCCTAGAAGCTTTTTAATAAGATGAGATCCCAGTAGTTGATTCTTTGTGTTAGTTCCCATGCCACTGAGGATTTGTTCATAAAGTCTTTTCCTATGCCAATGTCTTCGAGAGTTCTACCTAACTTATCTTTCAGCAAATTTAGTGTTTCTGTTTTAATATTTAGATCTTTAATCCACTTGAAATTTATTTTAGTGCATGGTGAAAGATAGGGGTCTAGTTTTAATTTCTGGCAAGTTGAAATCCAGTTTTTCCAACACCTTTCTTTCTTTCTTTCTTTCTTTCTTTATTTATTTATTTATTTATTGGTACCGGGGATCGAACTTGGGTCCTTGTGCTTGCACAGCTCCAACACCATTTATTAAAGAAGCTGTTTTCCAGTGAGGATGGCTGGCTCCTTTGTCAAAGATGAGGTGGCTGAGTATGTTTAGAGTTGTTTCTGCATCTTCTAATCTGTTCCACTGATCCTAACAGTTGAGGTTACTGTTTTGTCTGGATACTAAAATGGTTTCTCATTGGCAAAGAAATGTAAAGTTTCTAGTCTTGGGATCATAGCACTTATTTTTCAGATCACTCTGCTTTGTTTCCACCTTCATCCTGAATCACTCTCCTGCTCATGGTGGTAATTGCTCAGGCCTTCCCTCTTTCCATTCTTCAAGTGCCCTTGCTCTCCCTGTATACCCTGGCCCTTCTTCGGAATATCTTCCACCTTCTCTTCTCCTCACCTTTCTCTAGCCCAGACCTGTCCAGTGGAGATTTAGCCACAAGAGCATGCACATATCCTAGTACCCGCGTTCACAAAGTAAAAACAAACAGGTGGCATTGATTTAACCTGTCATATCTAAAATATTTTCAATATGTACTCAATGTAAAAAAAAAAAAAATCAAGGCCCGGGAATTTAGCTCAGTGGTTTTGCCGCCTGCTGCGCAAGCGCAAGGACCCGATTTCAATCCCCGGTACCCAAAAACAACAACAAAAAAATATCAAGATACATAGTGGAGGATGTAGTTGGGTGGTAAAGTGCTTGCCTAGCATGCTTGAGGCCCTGAATTTGATCTCCAGCACCTCAGATAAAGAGATAGAGGGCCGGGGATTTAGCTCAATGGTTACGCCACCTCAGAAGCGCAAGGACCTGAGTTCAATCCCTGGTACCAAAAAAAAAAAAAGAGAGAGAGAGGAATGCACTACATTATTTTTGGTTTTTTTGGTACCAGGGATCAAACTCAGGACCTTGTGCTTGCAAGGCAGGCGCCAGAACCACTGAGCTAAATCCCCGGCCCTCATTCTTCTTGTTTTTATGTTTTGTTTTTCTGATATGGGGTATCAAACTCAGGACCTTGCACTTGCGTGCCAGGTGTGGTGCTTTGAGCTAAATCCCCACCCCTTACGTTCTTTTCGTACCTTCTCTTGGAAATCCAGTGTTCGTCTCAGTTTCAGCCTGCCACATGTGAAGTATTGGAGACCAGCAGGGTTAGTGTCTGTGTTAGTGGGCCATATAGGACTAGGTGAGAGTTGACCTTCAGCTTTTGGCTTGAACTTGCTCAAAGGTGTTTTTTCCGACCATAGTTCCACATGGCCATAAGCTAGGGCAGTTCTGTTAGCCAGTCCCAAGATATCCTGTAGTTTCTTTCTTTGTTGTTTTTTTGTTTCTTTTTTTTTTGTACAGGGGATTGAACTTGGGTCCTTTCACTTGTGAGGCAGGCGCCAGAACCACTGAGCTAAATCCCTGGCCTTATTGGTATATTTTATATACACACAATGATAACATTCAAGCAAGAATCTTGGCTGTGGCCATTTTCCAATGAGTCTGCTTTGGCATTAAATGAATGATTAGACACATAGCTATAAATAAATAAATAAATAAATAAGAATGATGATGCCCATGCCCTGGTCAGACTCCTGGTCTGAGGGCTTCTCCTTCAAGTCCACATGGATCCTGCAGGCCATCCTGTGGCTTTGTGTGTTTTTGTTGTTGTTTTGTTTTGTTTTTTGAGGCAGGGTCTCCCTTTGTAGTTCAGACTGGCCCTGAACTCACTATGTAGCCCAGGCTGTCCTTGAACTTGCAGCAGTCCTCCTGCTTCAGCCTCCTGAGTGGGCTTTGTGTTTATTTTATGTTGCCTGTGTCTTGTTTGTTTTAAAGACTTGCTGAAATGCAGTCTATAAGCCAATCTTTTCTCCATTATCCCTGCTAACCTTGTGCCAGGTGAAGAGGCTACCTTCACCTTATACCCAGAAGAGTCAGTGTCTTTCCAGACTCCAGTCCCTGGTTTCAGCCTTTGCATCCTCTACAGTCCCTTGGTGGTGCTGTCCGCAGTCACCTTCCGACCCGGCAGGAGTGGGACACCCCATCACCTGCTGCTGCTGTCCACTTGGGTTGCACAAACAGTTCCTGAATTGTCTAAACTTACTGGACTCTGCCTTGGTACTCACTTTCTGCACTAAAAGCCTGAAAATTACTTTTTTTCTTCTTGCAGCACTGGGGATCAAACCCAAGGCCTTATAAATGCTAGCCACGTGCTACACCACTGAACTACACCCCAGCCCTCTGGAAACATTTGAACACATTTTACACTCGTGTTTAATCATCCTGTATGCCATATTCATCATTTCCATGCTGTATCCCTTCCTGCCTGGTGTTCTAGATACATTTCTATGTCTCTTACATACTTTGGTTTTTGGTTAAAAGTTTTCAGATAGAAGGGCTAGGGATTTAGCTCAGTGGTGCTGCCGCCTGCCCACAAGCACAAGGTCCTGAGTTTGATCCCTGGTAGCAAAAAAAATTTTCAGATAGAAAATAAATATATATTGGCCCCCATTCTCTCTCGTAAAAGCAGTTTGGGCTTGTTTACTCGAGTACTGAGAGCTTTGCACTTGGCATAGAAAGACTGGATCTCTGCTCCATGCAAGGTTTGACTAGCAGGAATGAGATCAGGTATGGCCGGGGACCATCGTAATGTTATTGACAAGTGGTAGAATAAGTGACAGTCATGAGTGCCTGAAGGGAAGGAAGAAACTCAGCCCAGGGAGTCAGGAAATGCTCCAGTTCAGAAGTAAGCACTTAGGCAGGTCTTGACGAGTAGGAGGAATTGAAGGTGATATAGGGGGAAAGCGTTCCAGGTATGAAATAAAAAGACAGAGCCCCAAAAGGACTGGGATGGAGGCTTGAGGGACCCTGAGGTGAGTAGCATCATGGCCACAGCAAGACAGAAAGACCTAGTATAGCCGTTTGTATGTGTGATGGTTATGCCTTGAAAGGGTTTTGGCCCTTTAATTGTAGTTCTTGTTTAGCTAATTTCATAATACATAGTCCCCATCTAAGTTAGAGGAGCCAACTTGAAGGACATCAGATTTTATCTATTTTGCCATCTTTGGAATGTAGTAGTTCATTCCCAGCCTCAATAAATCCTGGAATATATTGCTCAGACCCTCAGGCCTGCACTCACATCAGGTGACAAATCAAGTTCTGTTGTTTGCAGTGTGAATCTGAAGAGCAAAACCAAGTTCTGTGATTTCAGAAACTTTGATTTTCATGGTTTTGAAAGAGGGTAGGAACTTCACTATGTTCTGTCTCTTCCTCTGAGACTAATATACTCGTTAACATCTGAATATAATTTTTTTTTTTTTGGTACTGGGGATTGAACTTGGGTCCTTGCGCTTGCACAGCAGGCGGTGAAACCACTACTGAGCTAAATCCCCAGCCCTTAATATAATTTTTTTACAATTTTACTCTTTTCCACCAAAGATTGAAGTAAATGTCCCTATTAAATAAAGTCTTTTTGAATCTTTAATCTTAGGAATCCTTATTCTTCAAATATAGTGTTTATCCCCAGTAGAGCTTGACCCAGCAGTTCTCAATCTCAAATTTTTATTCTCTTTAAATTCCCTTCTCTGCCTCTGTGAAACTGATATTGTCGGGTGTGTGTGCAGCAATCTGCTCTCCTTCTGAGACAGAATTACTTCAGGGGTGGTGAGTATCGCAACTCAGTGGGCCACAGACAGAGCTCCCTTGATGGTGTTTGAAGAACTTGAGTTCCTGCTGTACCCAAAGTTCAGTAGGGCATCCTCCCCATCTTCCTTCTATCCATTTCACAGTTTCCTCCTCATTTTTGCAGAGGTTAGAGCCTGTTACTCAGCTTGGCCTGAGGTCTGTGGGGAGAAAGAGTATTTGCCAAGGATCAGGGAGAGGGCAGCTCTGAAAGTCTGGTCATGCTCAGAATTTAAAAGCACTTTTCTGGGCCAGGGATGTAGCTCAGTGGAATAGCGCCTGCTTGGCAAGCTCAAGGTCCTGGGTTTGATCCCCAGTACTGGAAAAAAAATAAAGAAAAAAAAGCACTTTTCCCATTTGTTAACACAGTGTTGAAACAAGGATAGGAAATCGTTGGGAAGCATACCACTAAGTCCTATCTCTGTCTTCTGTTCTTCCCCTTTTTCGCATTCATTAAGAAACTGCCCCTGGCTGCAAGGCTGCTGATCCCGGCCCAGTGACCCTGTTGCTCTTTTCCCCGCAGGCATAGAGTGCCAAGCCAACCAGGCATCCGCGACGTCCGAAGAGTGCACCGTGGCCTGGGGAGTCTGTAATGTAAGTTTGGCAGTCTGAAGTAACTAGGAAAGAAATGACCAGCCTGCCTTTCCCCCAAATATGCAAAAAGCACAAAAGATTTCAAACCCTCACACTGTTCCCTTGGAGGAGGGAAATGTGGCTGGTTATTGCAGAGAGGTCCAGGCTGTGCTGGTGGCCAGGCCACTCTGTTGGAGCCATCAGGATTCTGCACTGGGAGCGGCTCCAAAGTGAGGCCTGGTCTCCAGCACAGCCCTTCATATACCCCTAGGGCAAGTGTCTGTGGAGCTGAGTTGGGTAGATAAGTTAAGGGTTCCAGTCTGTGTGTTTTAAGTGTGGCTGGTGTACTGAGTGGGGATGTTTTAAATAGGCACATGCCAGAAATGTACTATGGAGCATCATTGGACTGAATGTTTGGTCCTGCAGGATGTGACAGCTGTAAAGGATAACAAACATAAAAAATGTTATTTCTAGAGTGTGTTAAAAATTCATCCTTATGCTGTATAGTCCCAGTCATCCAGACACATGCGCTAGAGTTGACCTATTCGGGACTCCTGTGCCTAGGAGACATAGGACCCACAGCTCCTGGTATGACACAGGGGCTCGCTCGCTAAGTGTACTAAGTCAGGACATTTAACACATCTACCCTAGGTTCCCTTGTGCAAAATTGGGCTCCTGGAGCCCACATGCAGTTATAGTCAGGATTAAATGATTTCGTATTAAAAGTGCGAGGAGGGCTAGGGATTTAGCTCAGTGGCGCTGTGCCTGCTTGGTAAGTGCAAGGTCCTGAATTCAATTCCCGGTACCAAAAAAGAAAAAAGTGCTTAGATGCTGATGTGGTGGTGCAAGCCTATAATCCCAGCTACTCTGGAGGCTGAAGCAAGAGGATCACTAGTTATGAGACCAGCTTGGGCAAGCTTAGCAAGACTGTCTCAGAACAAAGAGCTAGAGCTAGGGACATAGCTTGGTGGTAGCATACTCAAGGTCCTGTGTGCGACCCCAGTACCACCCAAAACAGCAGGGGGAGGGACAAAAGCTTAGAATTGCTCCTGCACCATAGTAAGCTAAAGTGTTGAAGCAGTTAAGTAAATACAAATTTGGGGCGGGGTCCTTTTTCTTGTCCCATGCCTGCAGCGAGTGTACCGTCTTCATTCTGTCAGGGCCCTTATGCCGGTTTCCCAGAGCCCACATTGGCCACAGGATGCCTCACTTGACTGGAGTGCTGATTCCCAGTCTTCCACACCAGCTCCCAAGTTAGACGAGTCCCCTCAGCTTCCTGTGTGGACCACACAGATAACAGTATCGGGCACGCCTGCTCATAGGGGCTGCTGTGGGGCTCGAGTGAGGCCGCAGATGTCAGCATCTCTGAACCCGGGACCCAAGGACCTCTGCAAACATTGTTTGCCTAATGTGTCCTCTCCTGTAACTTCCACTGCTGACCCAGAGGGTGTTGGGTAACGGAGGCAAGAGCTGGAGATGGGCACCTTGGGAATACCCGTCCCTAACACCCGAGGGCCGGTAAAAATGGCTCTGACTTCTGCCTCCAGGAAATCTGTTTTTTTCTCTTTTTCACAATGAGCTGTGAGAGTCCGCAGACACATGACCTTCCAGAAGGCTGTTGCTCTGGAGAATACATAGTTGACTTGCTGAGAATTCATAGCTTACCAGCTGTAGATTCTGTTTTTGTTTTTTGTTTGTTTTTTTTTTAATTTTTCAGTTCTGGGGATTGAACCATGGCCTTCCCACTGAGGTATATCCCTAGCCCTTTTATAATTTAAATTTTTTTTTTTTTTTTTTTGGTACCAAGGATTGAACTCGGCTCCTTATGCCTGCAAGACAGGTGGCGGAACCACTGAGCTAAATCCCCGCCCCCTATAATTTAAATTTTAAGGTCTCACTAAGTTGCCCAGGGCATGCTTAAACTTGGCAATCCTCCTGCCTCAGCCTCCCAGACTGCTGGGATTACAAGTGTGCACTGCCACACCCAGCTGGATTCCGTTCTTAATTACAGAATTAAATTTTTTTTGCCAAAAGTCAGTTTGCAAGATAATCCATAATGTCTGATTACTGAAGCTGCATACCTATTGTGGGAGACATACTAACCAGATTTCAGACCCATTGTTAAACCTGGTCCTTGTGCGCTTTTGTTGGAGGGGGACCTCCTGGGCCCCACTGCAGCACAGCAATCACAGCTTACATGAGGGGGACCCTTGCTGCTTCTCTTAATTCTCTACTCACAAGAGCGGCTGGGAGGGGGACAAGTGTCTATTGTGAGGCTGTAACTATGTCCACCTTCAGCTCACCCATACCTGCACATGGATTTTCCTCTCCCTAAATACAAGCCAGCTCCTGGCTCCCTTTCCTTACCAGTGCTGCTAAGAATCTTGCCTTCTACCTTCCTGTCTTGATCATGAAAATTGCCTGTTGATGGCCTTCTAGCTGCTTCTGTGCAGTTTATCGCCAGAATACTTTTACCTCAATTTTTATCTCTTTAAGACAGAGTCACTCACCCATCAAAGGCCTGTTGGGTGCTGGGCTGTTCAGATGTCTTTGAGTAAACCAGGAAGTACCCATCTCAGCCCTGGGTGGTGGCAGTGGCAGGGAGCTGCCCTGGGAACAGCTGAGCAGAGGCTGTGCTTCCAGGGGCCTGTTTCTCAAGGTGGGGCAGGAGGCCAGAGGCTGGTGACCAAGAATGGAGCAGTTTGAAGTTCTGTGTGGTCAGGGTTGCCCCCAGGGAAGTGGACATAGCCCCTTCAGGCCAAGTGCGGCCGGGGCCTCTCATGTTCATGTAAAGAGGAAAAGACTCACTGCTGGGATGCGAACTTGTGCTCCCTGAATCATTCTTCAGCAGCATTGACATTCCTGACCCATGTGTCTGTTGTAAATGCCCTGTACTTACCAGGGACAAGTACCAAGTTACGCTCCGCTAGGGCACTGTGCCTCTGCTTATCTGTCCCGAGGAAGCATCAGCAGCAGAAGATACAGAGCAGAGCAGAGTTGTTTTTAACCACACGTCTTCTTTCAGCATGCATTTCACTTTCACTGCATCTCTCGCTGGCTGAAAACACGGCAGGTGTGTCCGCTGGACAACAGAGAGTGGGAATTCCAAAAGTAAGCGTCCTCACTTTGGGGTGGGCTCGGGCCTGTGGGTGGCAACGTGGCCTGGGCTGTTTTTGAGCCCAGCTCTCGGTTATTGAAACAGTGACTCATTTACAGAATGTGCAGAAAGAATTAGCCAGTATTAAGTTTGCAGCCTGTGCGTTCCCAACCTTCTAGCATCTGTGAAAACAGAAAATACAGGAATCTGCAAGCTCTGAAATATTTCCAACATGACTTCCCCTAAGGAGGTTCCACGGGGCACCTATGTTGTAAACCTGTGCCATTGTGTCTCAGTGGTTTATCCACACCGCTTAGTTCTGATAAAGGATCTGTGGCAATCTTGATGAAACTATCCCCACCTAAAGCATGGCACAGTAAATTCTCAACAGTTCACACCTTCGAAAGGGACTGCCACAAAAAACAAGCCTCTCGCCTTAGACTTCGGAGGTGAACAGCAGCAGCAGCTTCCCAGTAGCTTTTCTGGCTCTCTCTGTAGACACTCGAATGTGTGCTTTTATTAACATATACAATGATTCACCTTGTTTTTCTCATGTGGTAGCTATTTCATATCTACACATAATAAATCGCCCCCTTTCCAGGGGTCAGTTTATCTCTACACAGAAGCACCATAGATTTTAATTAGTCCCTATTGATGGACCTGCAGGCATGGGGGTGGTGAGACCCTGGGAGGGAGGGAGGGAGAGGGAGAGGGAGAGTAGAGTGACTGAGCCAGGCCAAGGCCACTTCTGTCCCAAGTTTGGTGCACGCTGTGGTCGCATCTGTCTTTCCAGAGTTTTGCCTAAGGTCGTGCTTGTGTTTAAGCAGGGTTTGTCTCAAATAGGAACCTAGCATGGAATTAATGATGGAACTTGCTTTGTTTTCCAGGTATGGGCACTAGAAGGATTCTTCCACCCAGCCTAACTGTTATTAAGCAACCTGCTTCCTGTTATAGGTTAGATAGGACTGTGTCCTTTCCCCTCCTCTTTCCAGTTTACTGTCCCCCAGCCATGGTTGTACCCATGTCAAATAAAGTTCTGTTGGGTTCTAGAGTGGATGTGGTCTCTTGTGTATGAGAAGGAAGCTGACAAATGAAGAGTCTCCTCTTCAAAGGCTAGAAAGTGTACTTTATAAAGTGAGAGTCCACGAGCTGGAGGGGGAGGGGTCTGAAAGCGAGCCGTTAGCGAGCTGCAGACCGAGCGCCTTACTGTGTCACTGGGCTTGAGGCATTTGCCAGGTTGGGAGAGTGGATCTCGGGCACCAGACATCAGGTGGCTCCTCTTCCTGTGTGACAGTAGCAGGCACTAAGTAGGGAAATCACGGGCTCAATCGTCGAGCCTGACCCAGTCCTGCTTCCCAGCCACTCCTGCCGGCAGCCCTGGGGACTCGGCTCTGCTCAGAGGTGTCCTCTCCCAGGCTCTTGAAGACCACAAAGTGTGAGCTAGGCACTGAAAAAGGCACTGCATGACACTGCTTTCCCATAGCTTAGAAAGATAAACCTGAAAAATAAAATTGTAATATGTAATCTCGACTGGCAAAAGAACAATTGTAAACTCAAGTTAAAAACTGATACTTGGAGCCTGGTGTGTTGAGTGCCTGTGATCACAGCACTCAGAACCTGAGGCAGGAGGCTCGCCAAGAGATAAAGACCAGCCTGGGCAACATAGTGAGACCCTATCTTAACAGACCCTATCTTTTTTTTTAGGTACGGGGAATCAAACTCTGGACTTTGTGCTTGTGAGGCAGGCTGTGGCATCGCTGAGCTAAATCCCTGGCCCTTAATAAAAAAAAAAAAAATATATATATATATATATATATATACACACACACACACACGTACATATACATATATGTATTTATTTATTTATTTATTTATTTATTTATTTATTTTGTACCGGGGATCAAACTCTGGACCTTGGCTGCTTGAGAGGCAGTGGAACCACTGAGCTAAATCCCCGGCCCTAAAAAATATATTTTTAAACATCAGGTGTGGTGTTACACACCTGTAATCCCAGCTCTCAGGAGGCTTGAGGCAGAAAGATATCATGAGTTCAAGGCCAGCCTGAACTGTATACCAAGACCCTGCCTCAAAAAAAAAAAATTTGACCAGGGTTTTGGTGTATGCCTATGATCCTAGCTACTTGGGAAGCTGAGGCAGGATGAGCACTTGAGCCAAGGAGTTTGGGACTAGCCTGGGCAACGTAGTGACACCCTGTCTAAAGGGAAAAAAAAAAATAGTTTTGGTGTGGTGCTGTTTAGCTCAGTGGTAAAGTCTCTTTTTCCTAGCATGTGCAAACCCCTAGGTTCAGTCCCCAAGGCCACTAAAAAAATCCGCAAAAACTGATGTCACTTTGGGTTGAATTAATAAGCTTGGGCCGGGGTTTTAGTTCAGTGGTTCCGCCACCTGCCTTGAAGCGCAAGATTCCAAGTTCGATCCCTGGTACCAAAAAACAAAAATTAACAAGCTTAAGTCTCCCTCACTACCACCTGAAACTTCGGGTTCTGATACTGATGAATTGGCTTCATAGATTTCATTGAAGTGGTTCTCAGAGCTTGAGGATCCAGTGGTTCCTGCTGTCCTCAGCAGGTCTGTACAGTCCCCTCCTGCTGTGGGTCCCTGTGAGACTTTCTAAGGTAGGCAGAGCAATGTGTGGAATGACGGCAACTTGAGATTTCAACTGCCTTCTAAAACATGGCAGATTTGCAAAAATGTGGATGCCACTCTAATTTTTTTAAAGTATCGTGATATTTCTGTTCTTTTAAAAACTTAAAATTTCTCAGTTTGATTTGCATTATGGTCAGTATCTATAGATACATCCCACATGGAAACCCTGGGCCTCTCGATTTTAGTATCATAAAAAGGGTCTTGAAAAAAAAATTTTAAAAAAAAAAAGGGTCTTGAAACCAGGCCTGGTGGCACAGACTTGGACTGAGAGGCTGAGGCAGAAGGATTTCAAGTTAGAGGCCACGGTGGCTGATTTAGTGAGGCTGTCTCAAAGGACCAGGGGCTGGGCATGGTGGCACACGTCTGTGATCCCAACACTTGGGAGGGTGAGGCAAGAGGATCACTGAGTTCAAGGCCAGCCTGGGCTACATAGTGAGACCCTGCCTCAAAAAAATGTTGCTTTCTCTGCAAGTGATGAATTGAGAGTGTTCCGCTTGGGTACTACCCAGGATTCTTGGATGCAGGGTGCAGAAATCCAGTTTCTGCTGGGGCAAAAGGGAATATTCTTAGAGCACCCCAGTGCTCTGGGAGGCTGAAGCAGGAAGATCACAGGGTTGACCCCGGCCTGGGTAACTTAGGGACTTGGTGAGACCCTGTCTCAAAATAGATAAAAAAGGGCCAGAGGTGTAGCTCAGTGCAAAGGCCTGGGGTGTATTCCTCAGCAAGTCAATCAATCATTCCTCTAAAGGAAACCCTGCTGTCACTGGGAAGCTTCATTCCCAGGACAATTGCCCCCAGTGAGAGTTGACCCCACCTCCCTGGTGCCCCTCTGATCTGCCCAGTTGCTTCTCAACTGGACCTTTGCTTTCCACCAAAGTCACCTGCCCGACCCCTCCTCACCACTCAGCATGTGGTGCTGTTCACGGGAATAGCTTACTTTTTACACAGGATTTTCACTGTACTTTTTCTAGGTTTAGCTGTATGGATTGTCCGGTGCCTTTACTGGGTTCCCCAGGGGACCGAGCAGAATGCTCCCTCCAAATGAGGACAGAGCCCAGCAGGGGACAGAGCCCAGCAGAGGAGCACCATTCCTGTCCCAGGACAGATCAGGAAACAGACTCAGAACCTAAGCAGTGGCTTAAGTCCCCGGGGGGAATCACAGGGGCTCATCCCCCCTCACTGCAGTCCCCTGACCCTGATGAGCACCCCCTTGGTGTTTACCCCACTGGCTACTGCCACTTGCTCACCAGTCTCCAGCTGGCCCATTTACGCCCTGCCAATTCATCACCCCAAGCCTGGTTCTCATTCTCACTTGTTTTTGGGTTTTTTTTGGTACCAGGGGATCGAACTTGGGACCTTGCGCTTGCGAGGCAGGCAGCAGAACCACTGAGCTAAATCCCTGGCCCTCATTTGTTTGAGGTCAGGATTGGTAAACCAGACTGGGCCAGATGCAGCCCATGCCCAGATCCAGTGTTGGTCTTACCTGGAAAGCTAAAGAGTGGTTTCCACACCTTAAACTTGGAGGAAAAAAAAGAATATAGTATTTCATAGCATCTGAAAATGATATATGGCAGGAGGGTCACCATGAATTCAAGGACAGCCTGGGCTACATAGTGAGACCTTGTCTCAAAAAACTAGGGGTGGGGATTTAGCTCACTGGCTCCGTGCCTGCCTCACAAGCACAAGGTACTGATGTTCGATCCCCTGTACCAAAAAAACCAAAACAAACAATTTTTTTTCTTTTTACTTTGAAATATGGTCTCAATAAGCCACAGAGTTGCCTGGTGCCCAAATGGACTTCAAACTTCTGATCCTCCTGCCTCAGCTTCCCAGAGTACTGGGATTACAGGTGTGCACCACCCAGAGTGGCTTACAGTTCTCTATGCTATGCAAATTTGTCTGTCATATGTGTTGTATATGTTACCATTTGATTGTTGTCTTTTGACTTATTTTTATTTTTTTCATGGAAAAATTTTTGGGTTTTTTTGGTGCTGGGGATTGAAGTCTGGACCTTGTGCTTGCAAAGTAGACAGCAGAACCACTGAGCTAAATCCCCGGCCCTGGAAATTTTTTAAATGTTTCCTGTGGTTAGTTTTGAGTCATGCTTAAATTAAGTCCAGCCCACTACAAGGTTCTTAATTCTTCTTTAGTTAAAATCTGTCTCCCCGAACAGGCTGCCCTTGAACTCTTAGTGATCTTCAGCCTCAGCCTGCCTCCCCATGTGCTGGAATTACAGGTGGATAACTTATTCTTCTTGATGTTCAGATTATCCCCCCTCTGGCCTGTGGAAATCTTTTCAACTTGGCTCCTTTGTCCTCTGCATACACCTTTGACAGACTGATCTGATTCATTTTTTGGGAGGAATGTTAGTACTGGGGATTGAACCTAGGGCCTCCCTACTCAGCTAGCTGCATCTCAGCCTTTTATTTATTTACTTAGAGATAGGGTCTTGGTAAAGGTAAGACTTGAATTTGGGATCCTTCTGCCTCAGCTTCCCAGTGTGGGGATTCTAGATATGAGCCACAGAGCCCAGCTCACAGGCTGATGTTTTTATACTTTTGTTTTGCCTGAGACCTGGAATCATCCTTTCTCTAAGGAGCCCTGGTTCCTTTTAGAGAGACATGATATTTACAGATCACAAGCTGGGTACTTAGAATCAACATTATTATTTTTTTTGGTACCAGGGATTGAACTCGGGACCTTGCGCTTGTGAGGCAGACGGTAGCACCACTGAGCTAAATCCCTGGACCTTGTTTTTGTATGTGAGACAGAGTCTCGCTATGTAGTTCAGCCTGGCCTTGAACTCACTATGGCAGTCCAGGCTGGCCTTGAATTTGAAGTGATCCTCCTGCCTCAGCCTCCCACGTGCTGGGATTACAGCTGTAGACCAGCATGCCTGGCCAGAAAATATTTTTTTGTACAGATCCTGTAAAGGCTGTGCAGAATGTATGTGGTTAAAGCCAGGCAGTTCCAATTTACAGCGCTTTTTTTTTTTTTTTTAATGTTAGTTTCAACATGTAATTGTAGCTTTTCAAACTGTGAAACCCCTAGGCTAGTATGATAGTGTGTGCCTGTAATCTCAGCACACAGGAGGCTGAGGTAGGAGAATCACTACAAGTTAAAGGCCATCTGGCACTACAGAATGAAACCCTGTCTCACAGAAACCAAAATAAGGGGCAGGGATTTAGCTCAGTGGTTCTGCTGACTGCCTCGAAAGTGCAAGGACTCGAGTTCAATCCCCAGTACCAAGAAAAAAATTTTAAAAAGGTGCCCAGGATTCGCTGTGGCTGCTTGGCAAGCGCAAGGTCCTGAGTTCAATCCCTGGTACCACAAAAAACAAAAAGCCCAGGGATTTAGCTCAGTGATTCTGCCACCTGCCCCAAAAGC